GAACAGCAAATGTACAACGTTTTGACAAGGTTTTGTCGATGATGATGACAAAACCTTGTCGAAACGTTGTACATTTGCTGTTCTGTCAAACTTATATTAAAGTTTTTCTTCATTACCCATTCAAGCCGTCTCCAGCCATTAACAGTGCTATACCATTAACGATTTTATATACCGTAACCAAGAGTCGAGGATGGGGAGTGTTATATTCCACAAGTAAGTAAAACCTTTTTTCTATAATATATTAAGTTATAGTGGGTGACATCGCCGTGAACATGGTGGCAACATCGAACTGCCGTGGATGTTTACATCTAGTTTCAAAGTATACATGGGAGTCTTTTTTTGAAAGACATTTTACCTACACAAGTTGGCATGATGATTTGACAGTTTTTGATTTGAAATGCTGGCAATATTAAGTACTCATATAAGTTGAAATAATCATCAATGACATTCTAATGTTACTCGCTGGCTAGTCAGGCTATACAGATTAATTGGATTAATTTGTATGAATTAAGATAAGTCTAGTCTGTTCAGTGACATTATGGCTTATCCAGCAAACAATTCAAACATAGGCCTAATACTGTCAATAAGACTCATTCTCAGAATTACATGAGAAATTAAATAAAAAAATGAAGTTGAAACACCTGGAACATCAGAAACCTGAAATACAGATATTTGATTCTATTTACAATTTTACTGTGGTTCTTTTTCATTTCAGCAGTACATTGTTATAATGCTCTATATGTTTCCCTATTATTTGTGTAAGTAAGAAAAACGTTAGGTTATTGAGTATTTCCTTTACAATAATCTTCAATGCTTGTTAATTGAATATTTGAAACTACAAGTAACAGAAATGAAACTACTTTTCTCAAACTTTTGAACTTTAGGCTTAAAGAAGTACATTAAAATTGTTTTAGGAACTGTTCATTACAGATTACAAACATTGAAAGGTTAGGTTTATATCATCATGTTTTTAATTAGTAAGCTATGCTTACTATATCTATTTCTCTATTTTAGTGATGCCACTAGCTTTTATTTTTATTGCTCTTTTGAAAGTGTTTCATTTCAGAGCATATTTGGCAGAGTGAAAACAGAGCAGCCTGGTGATCTACCAGAAGATGAGATTATTTCAATATTCAATGACAGTAGTGATGATGATCTATATAGTTCAAATTACAGTGTTCTAAATGTAAAAACAGACAATGGATTTCAAGAAGATTTACAACAAATTGAATCTAGGTTGGAAAGTGGATCTGGTAAATACAAACATTTATAAACTAAATTTACTTTCACTAGCTGAAAATAACTGGTTTAATTTTTGGTAATCTTTCAAAACTAACAAAACCACATGAGATAGAATTCCTTTCAGGTGTATATATATGTAATCATTAAACACTTGGTCCACTGTATAAGAAACTTTTGATATATAATGAGAGATAGTGAAATATTATATATATAACCATTAAACAGATGGTTCACTGTATAATATGGAATAATGAATTAGGTAAAATGTAATAGAGTTATTCACATCCCTAAATTAATTTATGTTTCTGTATGGTGAATTAAAAAAAGACTCAAAATCCCATAATCATTGCTTCTATAAAACTAAACAGAAAGAAACTTTTCAACTGAGCACTGTTTCTTTTCTTCATGGTTCTTTATGTATAGACTTTGTGAGTAATGGTTGGAAACAGTTTCTATAGTTTAATACTTCAGTGTGTACTACTATTATTGATTTCCATGGATTTGATTTTATGAACACTTTCAGTTCACTGGATTATGGGACTTCAATGATCTTGAACCTCTGATCTCTTAATTATTCTTGTAAGAATCTAATCATATAGTTTTTAGTAAGAGGAATCTGTTCTAAGCATGATAGAATAATAAATAATATTTTGATAGATTGTTTCATTTTGTCAAAATCTTAGTTTCCGATACAATATCCTACCTCCTCTCACATAAAAGCTTTTCTTCACTTGTATTGCTCTCTATATGGATGAACATATATTCAGAACCTTGTATAAGAATATCAAATTTTTTTTCAGACCCTCGTGTAAGAATATCAAAAAAAAAAATTTTTCACTAAAACTCTGTGTCTTATTTTCTCTAACCAAACACTAATTACAAGAAAGTCATCTTTAGCAAAAGCAGAAAATATGATGTAAAATTAAAAATATAACAACTACAGTTACTGAACTTAAAAGCTTTAGACCTATTTATACTCAAGAATGTACCATGTTGGTTTTCAAAAAAAAATTAATCTAGCTTTGAAATGCATTTTAAAACACAAACAGAGAATCGAATGCACCTATAAAATATCTGGTTTTCTAATTAATCTATAAGTAAGCTTAAAACATTATATTAATTAATGAAGCACTGAGTTCAATATACACAGACAACAAAATATGATTGCTAAATAGTGCCTTTTACCAAGATAAATTAATATAAGGATGTAATAATTACATAGTTCACAACATGGCCTTTGACAAGCAGACATGAGTAAATAAGTAATTTCAAAAGCATGAAAACTAAGAAGGAGCTTCTGTGATGTTTATAACAAATAAACTGACATCTCATAAAATAAAGAATGTGGGAGGTTCTTCTTTTAGATTTTGGCATTTCAATATTAATAGTTGATAAATTCAGTTGATGGGCATTCTGATACCTGTATAAGGGAAAAAAGAAAATGTTAGAAGAAGAAATTGGATAGGCATCACATAACAAAAAGAAATGAAGATTGAGAGCTTATTTAAATATTTCCTTTTGAAATTGTGGTGCTAGAATTTACATAACATTAAAATTTGAATTATAAACTATATTTTTATACCAAGGTTATTGACATACTTTGATAATACAGTTGTTCAAATAGATTTTGAATGTAACTATGTAAAAAAGGCCCGGCATGGCCAGGTGGTTAAGGCACTTGACTCGCAATCTGAGGGTCGCGGGTTCGAATCCCCATGACACCAAACATGCTCGCCCTTTCAGCTGTAGGGGTGATATAATGTTATGGTCAATCCCACTATTCGTTGGTAAAAGAGTAGCCCAAGAGTTGGCAGTGGGTGGTGATGACTAGCTGCCTTCCCTCTAGTCTTACACTGCTAAATTAGGGACGGCTAGCGCAGATAGCCCTAGTGTAGCTTTGCGCGAAATTCAAAAACAAACAATCTATGTAAAAAAAGAATGTGATGTGCACTTTGACCTCCCACCTGACACATAAATTAAGAGGACAAAGCATTAGAAAGTTTCGTGATAATCAACCATTTAAAGAAAAAAGATATCCCTTACAATTTTTCCAGGAAACTACTGGTTGAAAGTAACATTGGTTGTTGTGATACTGTACCATTATATTTTCACAGTTGATTTTAGAAATTGTCTACTGCAAATTTTTCACTCAAACATGCTCTGTTACCCCTATTTCATGTTTTCAATGCTATTACAAACTAGGGAGAAAAGTCTCTATAAAGTGTGATACTATGAAAACTACATCATATTTATTTTCACCTATAATATTTTGATATTAATATTTGTGTTGATGGTATTAGACCATTAAAAGGATTTTAGAAGTTGATCAAATAAAATAATGTATGATAAATTTGTTATTAACTGCATTTGTTGTATTATACATTTTGATTTTAGATATAAAGACCAGTGTGAACATCTGTTCTGGAAATCAGTTGCCTGGTTATGTTTTAAGACAAGAAGATCCCTTTACAGAAGTCATCAAATCTCCAAAACCATACAATGTATGCAGAAAAACAAATTTAAATGAAAATAACTCAAAACAATCTAATATACCTCAGGGTGGTGACAAACTGTACAGTTGTGTAATCTGAGTAAATGAATGTAGAACAAATAGTGAATTAAAAATACATCTGAAAATACATAATGGGGAGAAGCCATATAGTTGTTCTGTGTGTAGAAAAGAATTTGAAACAGTGGGTAACTTAGAAAAACATGAGAGGATACACACCAGAGAGAAACCATACAATTGTGCTGTGTGTGGAAAATACTATAGAAGTAATAGTGAATTAAAGATGCATCAAAGAACACACACTGGAGAGAAACCTCATAGTTGTGCAACTTGTGGAAAAAATTTGGATTGAAATGTAATCTAAAAACACATGAAAGAAGACACACTGGGGAGAAGCCTTATAGCTGTGCAGTTTGTGGAAAACAATTTGTAAAAAAAGGTAACTTAGAAGTGCATCAGAGAGTACACAGTGGGGAGAAACCTTACAGTTGTATTGTGTGTGGAAAACACTTTGTAACAAATGGTAATTTAAAAATACATGAGATAATACATACTGGAGATAAACCATATAGTTGTGGAGTTTGTGGAAGGCAGTTTGGAACAAATAATAAATTAAAAATGCATGATAGAATACACACTGGAGAGAAACCATACAGTTGTATAGTGTGTGGAAAACAATTTGGAATTAGAAGTTCCTTAAAAAGACATCAAACAATGCACACTGGGGAGAAACCTCTCAGTTGTGCAGTTTGTGGCAAAAATTTTCAAACAAATCATAAATTAGAAATACATCATAGAAAAATAAACTCTGGGGAGAAACTTTGCAATTGAACAGTTTGGAAGAAAACATGATTCAGTAATACATCAGAAAATACACAGTGGTGAGAAACTTCACAGTTCTGGCAAGTAATACATTAAAAATACACCAAAGAAGTCATACTGGAGAGAAACCATACAGTTGTTCGGTTTTTGGGAAAAAAATTTCCAACAAGTAGTCAATTAACAAGATTGTCAAACAAGAACATACACTGGTGCAGAAACTAACACTTGTATAGTTTGTTGCAAACAATTTAGAATGAGTAGCATGTTAAAAATACTTGAAATAATACATAATGGAGAGAATCCAAACATTTAAATAGAGAGCAAACAATACACACTGGGAAGAAATCTTAGAGTTGTGAAGCTTGTGGAAAAAAAATTTGAAAGAAACATTATATAATATTACATCATGAAAAAACAAACTGAGGAGAAACCATACAGTTGTATATTGTGTGGAAAACACTTCACAACAAATAATGACTTAAATACACACTGAAGAGAAACCTTGCACTTGGGCAGTTTGTGGAAAACAGTTTATAATGAATTGAAATTTTAAATTAAGTGAAATATTAAATATTAGAAGAAACCTAACAGTTGTTCATTAAAAAATTTATCTACATTCTTACTAAGATTGCCTTTTCTCTCACTTTGACATGACAGAATACATCATGGGGAGAAACCATAAATTTGTGTTCAAAATACACAATAGCCCTTGACCTTTTAAGACTGGTAATTGGGTTTTTCTATGAGTAACTTCATGATCTCTTGGATTTTTAGTGGTCCAGAAACTCACATGTTCATTATTCATACTTTTATTGTTCTGAGACATAAGGTTAATTACTTTGGGTCAAACTTTTTGTGTATTTATTATATCATTCATATTTTGATAATCACCTGTAATTCAATGATCTTCCACTTCTAGTTCAAGAATCCTGAAAAATGTGTGATTAACTTTAGTATTTTATTGTATTTTGTAATGTTCATCACTGAAAAAAATAAATAAATATTCCTGTGAGCCTAATAACATCTCAGTATATTGAGTTAAATTCTGCCTCATTTCTGTATTTATTTCAGTACAGAGAACTAAAAATATACTTGTTCAGTTAATTTGAATTTCAAGTTTCAGAAGCATTCATGTGAACTGAATGGATCTTCAATTAACACTTTTTTAAGAAAATTTATTATATATTGCTAGCCACAGCAAGAATGGATGCATATGACAAATATGGTTTATTGAAGGCCACGTACAACCCCACTGTTTTAAACAAAGATGCTGAACATGGGTACAGATTTTCATTTTCAAAAATCTGATGTTATATAATATAAAAAGGGAATATACCATATATATCTAGGCTTAGTGCATCTTATTATGTTCAAGCTTAGATTTAAAAGAAAAAAGCAATTGTTCTCTTAATTTTGTTCAATTCATATATAAAAAAAACTTTTCATGAAAAAGTCTACAGAGAAGTACCACAATTTCAAGAAGGCATTCTGTTTTCTATTAACATTTCTCATTATTTCTTCATTTTTGTCAAACTGATCTTGGTGGTACTCTTTTTTTTTTTCTTTTTTAGGTCAAAGCTGTTTCTGTCACAATTTCCTTGAACTGATTTCATTTTTCAGATGGGGTTCCCTTCTCCTATGAGTAGACACTCTTTTAACTTTTGTTTCAGTTTAGCTGTCTTGAAACTACTATTGTCATTTGCATTGTGGGTAGATGATGTGAAAATTGAACATGGCTGTAATGAGTCTGTGATAATACTTCAGTGGCTCGTGAGGATAACTCATCTGTTTAGCTGCTTTCCCTTCCTTCTGTTTCACACCTTTATCCTCATCCTGACCCAGAGAAACTTCTATGCATTGTACCTGTTCTTCTATGTGATGTTGCCTGCATGGCTTCTTTCTGTGGTGTCTGTTCCCACCCCTTTCACCCTTGGCATCTGTCCTCTGTTCATGTTCTTTCTCCTTCACCAGTTGGGTACAGCTCTTCATTCAGTTGGCTTCTTCCTCTTTATCGTCTTCTTCCCATACTTTGTTCTGAATGTCGTCCCACCCAATTCGACACCTTACTTTTTCATTGATGTTTCATCCACGTCATCCTTTGGATGTACTTCTTCAATCAGGCATGTGGACTATCCATAATACATTTGTCTCTCACTATTTGCATTGAATCACGGTTTTCTTCCTCTTCGGGTTATCATCTTCTACCTGTAGTCATTCTAGAATATCAGAATTCAGTGAGAATTTGACTAAGTTATTTTTTCTTATTTTTCCTTTTCAGGGGCCCTTTACCCTTTTATTAGTGCTCATTGTTAGGATCCTGCTCTGTGGCAAGTGGTGCATAACAAGGTATTCTTTAACTTTACAAATCCACATTATCTAGCCATGTTGACTTGTGTATTATAATTCCATGGCCACACAATGCCCACTGCAGAGATGGGGTGTTCTGTAAGATCTCTTATAGGTTTGTCCTTGCAATAGAATTGCTTCATAAGTTTGCCTCTCCCATACTGTACCCACCCATGGACTACATGGGTAAAGCAGAAAAGGATAACTGCCCATCCTTGCCATGCCTTGTTTTGAAGAAATGGGTATGGTCTTTTAAAAATAGGGTTTTGTGGTCACCCATTACACTGTCTCTGGTGTTGTCATTCCTCTGGACTCTCCACTGCGTTTTTCTTCCCTTTTCTTTTTGTGGAGTTTGGGAGTCCTTTCCAGTTTCGAGCCACTGGGGTGGTAGACCATGGAGGCCTCCTCCTGAATGGGTTAATGCAATATCAACAAAATATAGAAATGATTATAAAATCATTCAGTTTAGAGTAGGCGGTGGTATGCTGCTGTTGTAGATTATATGATATCCTCCATTATGAAACATAAAAACAAATGGGAGTGAGACATCAAAATTGCAGTTCACCCCTTAGATTGGGATCCCTCATCCTACCCCCCACGTGAATGTCAGTTCCCATTGGTCAGGTTTTGGATTTAGAGTAGAACCAGTCAACATAAATCCTCACGTTTTATAGATGTCTGTCTTCCTCCCTCAACCATACTCCATCTGTTTTGTGGATCATGGTGGAGGTACTTGGGATTGTTATGGTTCTTTCCCTTCCTCTCTCCCTTGATGTATTTTATTCTGAGAATGTTATTGCACCTGGGGGTTCTGGTCAGTTTCAATGTTGAGGGAGTCAATTTCTGTATGGTAGACATCTTTTGGATTCTGGATGTCAGGTTCCCGGATCAATATATTTTCTATTCTTAACATGTGCCCTGTTCTGGAGTCAAGTGGGTTTTAAATCCCCTCTGGTCTCTTGAACTTGAGGTTAGGATGGTATGATCCTCATCCTACCCCCACATGGATGTCGGTTCCCAGCGGCATGGGTTTTGGATGTTATTGACTTGATGAGTATGATCTGTTATGCTCTTGCCACTCTACACCTGTGAACACTTCCATGGTTTTTCTCGGACCAATTGAATGTGCTCTTCTGTTTTCCGCCCATGTATACGACACTTTTCTCAGTTAGGCAAAGAGTATACCTGGTTCAGAAATAGTGTGGTCTCCCACATCAGATCTGCCAATCTGACTCTCTAGTCTCAAGGTGTGTTCTTTAGATGTTTCTTTTCTTCCCTTGCACCAGTCCCTACACCTATTTGATATGGGATTCTAGCTAATTATGTGAGACTAGGTAATGTACCGCATAGGACGTAAAACTTTTCCTATACTGAAAGTGTATTTTCGATAGAGACTTACCTCCTTCCTCCCCACTGAAATCCGGTGCTTACATTTTCTGCCAAAACTCGAAGTGATAATTTGGTAGAACTGAATAGAGGGAGTCACATGTGTAATGATACTCTCATTGGATATAAGTTGTTTCATAGTGATTTGCATGAAAGACACATTGGAATGAGCCATTTACAAGGGAGGGGAAGCAAAAGGCTTGTGGCATGTGTAAAAACATTTTCTGCATACAGAGGGCAGCACTGAACGAGAATAGCTATTTATGTGAGATGAGGTAATTACCTATCGGAAATGCATTTTTTAGTATAGGAAAATTATAACTTTTATGTATTTCCTATGTTTTGTGTGATTTTTTTTTTGAAAATATGATTTAATATGTGAATTCCTGTTTTGTAAAGGTTAACTTTGATATTAATATTTTAAATGTGTTATTAAGCTATTGTGTCATTACTAAATAGTTCAGTCTAGCTACAGCAGTGTATAATTTTATGCTTATTAATTGATGTATCTCAGTATCTGGAAAATTGCCCCCCCCCCACCATAATTAACAATGTTTCTACAACATTCTGAATAGTTGTGCATTGGCAAGATCCACAATGTCATGTTTTGGCACTGTAAGTCGTTAATGGTGAATATATATATATTAATGAAATAAACAATTTATAAAAATTCCGATAACAGTTTAAATGTTTTAAAATACTGAACAACATTATTTAATATATTTTTTGTATGTTTTTATGCTTTTGAGAATTTACAGAGGAGGAAAACGTTTTCACAACATTGCATTTATATTTTGTGCACATCTTTTATTTAAACAAATTGTAGCTTAAGTAATATGTTTACACTTTCTACAGTGCAAATAATTGTTATTTCAATTATTTTATGAGTGAGA